CCGGCCGAGCCACTCCAAACACCTATACCAACAGAGCCACTTCAAACATCTATACCGACCAAGCCACTCCAAACACATGTACGGACCGAGCCTTTCCATGCACCTACCAACCGAGCAAATCCAAGAACCTACTGACCTTGCCAAACCAACTACCTCCCCAGCGAGTCACTCCAAGTTCCTCCCGATCGAGCCACTCCAAGCACCTATATCGACAGGGCTACTCCAAACACCTATACCGACAGAGTCACTCCAAGCACCTATACCGACAGGGTCACTCCAAGTTCCGACCCACCGAGCCACTCCAAGCACCTTTACCGACCGACCCACTCCAAGCACCTATACCGACCAAGCCACTCCAAGCACATGTACCGACCGAGCCATTCCAAATACCTACCGACCGCGCTACTCGAAGCACCTACCGACTGAGTCACTTCAAGCACCTCCCCAGTGAGTCACTCCAAGTTCTTACCGATCGAGCCACTCCAAGCACCTATACCGATTGGGCCATTCCGAGCACCTACCCACCGAGCCACTCCAAGCATCTACTAGCCGATTCACTCCAAGCACCTACCAACTCAGGCTCTCGAAACAACTTGAAATATATATATATATATATATATATATATATATATATATATATTCCTCAGTATATATATTCAGAAAAAAAAATATTCACATGCACTTTTTAGTGGGCCAGTGCGGGTTTGGTGTGTGGTGAAGCAAGATATGGATCCAAGTGCAACGGGAAACCCGCCACCTAGCCTGTTAAAAAAATTAAAAAAAAACAATATTCTTGACTATTCGTTAGCCAAAAAATAAAATTAATGCGCACTTCTTTATTGCTTCAATGCGCGTTTTGAGTGTGGTGTAGCATGGTGTTGATCCACGTCCCCTTCAACTTGAAAAAAAAAAAAATAGATATTCCTCAGTATATATATTGGGAAAAAAAAAACCATTCACATGCACTTCTTAGCGGGCCAGTGCGGGTTTGGTGTGTGGTGAAGCAAAATATGGATCCAAGTGCAACGGGAAGCTCGTCGCCTAGCCTATGAAAAAAGAAATAAAAAAATAATACTCTTGACTATTGGTTAGTAAAAAAATAAAATTCATGCACACTTCTTTGCTGCTGCAGTGCGCGTTTTGAGTGTGGTGAAGCATGGTGTGGATCCACATCCGAAATGGGGGGAGGGGGAGCCCCCCCCCCCCGCAACTTGAAAAAAAAAAAAACATATATTCCTCAGTATATATATTGGGGAAAAAAAAATATTCACATGCACTTCTTAGCGGGCCGGTGCGGGTTTGGTGTGTGGTGAAGCAAGATATGGATCCAAGTGCAACGGTAAGCTCGCCGCCTAGCCTGTGAAAAAAAAAAAAATAATAATACTCTTGACTATTGGTTAGTAAAAAAATAAAATTCATGCGCACTTCTTTGCTGCTG